GTACCGATGTCCTAAGTTGCAATCTCAACCGAGTTCAAACAATCTGTCTGTTTGTCCGTCCCCTATTAATTTGAGCGTGTAAACTGTACGTGTAATTACTACTGTAGGTACCTCCTTACTAGACAATGCAAGACCTAACCTAGGGTATTATGTAAAGAGGTTCTAATGTTAAAGTCATTATCGGGTTTTAACCGCTGTTCGAAAAGGAGATTGTGTGTTTTCTGTGTTCTCTTATGATTAAGATTGGAGTTTTCATGTTGTCTATTGTCTCGTGAGCTGCTGAATCTGTTTTGATGTGATATTTTTCAGTTAAAGTATTTTACTTACCTAGATTATATTATTTATTTCTACGAATGGTAAACACTTATGTTAATAGTCCCAAATATAACAAACTCGCAGCCATTATTGAACCCGACATTATGTTCGGCAGTTGTAGCAGCCCTCGTTTTTAGAGCAGGTACCTAAAATTACAGGTACGACTGCATTTTTATCTGGCATAATAATGTTAAATACTATTCTGATGCTAGAAATTATATGTAGGATCTAAGTACCTACACAAAGAAAGCTCTGAAAGCTATTCCTGCAAGGAATTGATAATATATTTTAGCGACATTATTTAGCATAAATCTGAAGTACGGTCAAAGGGTGGAAAAATACTTTTAGAATGTTTCTCTTCTGGTTTGTACCTATTTCTATATTTTTTGGGTAATAGGTAAGCTCAGAATCAAATGCATTTTCTTCTCACTTTTGAAAATGTGTTTCAAAAGAACTAGAAACCAATCAATACAAATAAAAATGATTCTACAAAAACAAATATTGCAAGCAGAGAGTTCGATATTCAAACCAAACGCCATGTCACCTCAACTTTTTAGTAAATACGCATGAATGGCAAAGGTAATGTAGCATTCAGCCTATCGAACCGGACACCGATGAATGAAATGAGACAAACACTGTATTCTGTTAATGAATGTCCAATTAATGTTGCCAGGCTAACCTGATTGACTGGCCGACCGATGTTGTATGCAACATTTCATACAAAAGGCCACGATGCCTCACTGGCTATTACGCCTACAGATTGCTTTTATGAATCGTAAAAATAATAACATCGTAAATTGAATTCGTAAAAAATATTGAAGATTTATTTTTAACTTGTATTGTTAAAGGTCGTGTTTGACTAGGAAGGTGGTGAATACTGAAATAAGGTGTGCTACCTACACCTATATAAATATAAATTGTAAATATCTATTAAAAAAAAACTATTTCTTTCCTCGATTTG